ATAGTGGGGCTAAAAGTCTCTGAAAAAAAAAAAAAAAAAAAAAGACACCAAATTTTGTAGCCATTCTGTGTAAGTGATTAAATACAGAGCAGTATAATTTCATGCTTATAGATTTCATTGTTCAGGACATGACAATATTCTAGCAGCCAGGGGGCTAATTACCAATGGGATTCCAACTGCTATAGGTAGGGGGGAAATCTATACAAAGAAAGGTCTTGCTTTTCTGCTCTGAAATGTTGTCAGGCTCAGGTGGATTTTTGTTGGAATTATTTCATTTCCACTGAATACAAGTGCTGTTGTAGGATAGATGAACCAGTACCTAGGGCACTGAAATAGTGTCCTGTCCATTAGAAAAAATGTGTGTTGAATTCCATTTTTCACTGTCACACACAGGTCCTGTAGGACCTTCATGGAGTCAGTCAGTGAACTTTGTCTCATCTCTCATTGGTAGAACTGGGAACACTATTTATATACCCAATTAGAGCAGCTTGTTTTAGCCCTACTTGTAAACCATTCTAGATGCTAGTGACACAAGAGGCTTATTTTTGAGATAATCAATACTTAGCAATTACTAGTAATGAGTTAGCATTCCCCTTCCCCTCTTATTTCCCTTTCCCCACCATGCCTAGTAATACTGTTAAAATCTTGTACAGTTCATCTTTCACACAAGGCTTGTCAGGCTTTTCCAAAGTTGTATCACCTTCCACATCAGCAGCTTTTCCAGCATTATTTTGGTGGTATGGAAACCTGCATTTTATATAGCCACAGATGCCCCCTTTCCCACCCTACTTCGCTAAGAGAAGTTAGATAAGCAGGTTTTTGCTTTCTGTTCTCTGTCAGGAGAAGTATCTACTGCAGAGCGATCTGTGACCAGTTTCTAGATAAAGATGAATTTTTCAGGATTTATTTCCCAGTATCTTTTTTTGGAAATCACTCTTCTAGTATGGGTAAATGGGGAAAAGAAGTGATTCTTGACATACCTTTTTACGGGTTTGGGTTGCAAATAAAATAGAAGAATATAATGCGTATTACAGCTACTCCTTGCTTAATGTCGTAGTTATGTTCTTGAAAAATGCGACTTTTAAGTCACTCCAATTACATCACAGTAGTTACCTAATAGCAGGCAGCAGCCAAACAATGTTATAACTGAACATTGCATGACTTTAAATGGGTATGTTCTCTAATAGATCAGCAATGTAATAGTGAAAAATATTAACTCAGACAACGTTAAGTGAGGAGTGCCTGTACAATGTTTTGGCTTTGAGCTAACAAATGTATGTTCAGGCACTTGGATATCATGGTTATGATGAGGTTTTGATGAGCATGGCATTAAAACTTAAATAGATGAGACTTATTTGTTATGGATTCCCCTTGTGAGAGGAAAGATTTTAAGCCCCTAGTCACATAGAGATGAAGGTTGATATTTGTGTTCATAATTACTACAGTATATAGGAATTTAAGAATACACCTGTCGTACCTGTGACCCCCTCCCCTTTGATCCTCAATAGCTGTGTCTGCTTAAACAGAATGTAGTTATCCCATTTTTCAGTTCTTTAATGTTTTTTCCTAGGCCATGCCCCTAGCTACAGAGGAAGACAACCCCTGCAGAATCTAGTAATCTGACCATGGGATAAAATTCCCTCTTGAACCCAAAGGTGGCAATAAGTCTGACCCTGAGCAGAGAGGCAAGACCCTCTAATGAGGAACCTTTGAGTTTTAATCCCAGTGGGAATGCCAACACATCCCAGTAAAAATCCCCACCTTTGGCTGCAGCCAACACCCAATACTTCTGAGGAAGGTGAACCCTGCCCTTTCCCTCCACCTGCCCCTTGACAATGGTAGCAACAGGAGGGGAAAAAATTCCTTCCCAGCCCCATGGAGCAATGAGCAAATCCTAGAAGCATGGAAAAAAAATCCCCAAACACCCTACATTTGTGTTCAGCGAGCTGGAGTGTTAGCAACTCAACTTTTCAGCTGTGTGGTTTGATCTAGCTGGTATCACAAAACGGTATTTCCAAAACACTCAAATAAATCCTATCAAGGTAAACTTCCTGCTTTGATTCTTTTGTTTGTTTTTTGCTCGCATTCAGATGCATGAATTTTTGTACATGTGGTACTTGTGGACAGACAAGGTGGTCCTCATATGAAAAGAAATGCTTTGTGACTAATGGCAATGATCTTTGGGTAGATGTGATATCTTTTATTAGACCAACTGAGTAGTTGGAAAAAAAGTTCTTTGCAAGCATTTGGGCACAAGCACCCTTCCTCAGGCATAGGAAGCCTCTGCTGTTTTGAGGTCCCCAAGGAATGAACAATAGCAGAGGCTCCCTATGCCTGAAGAAAGGTGCTTGTGCCCAAAACCTTGCAAAGTCATTTTTTTCCAATGACTCAGTTTATCTAATAAAAGATATCACATCTACCCAAAGAACCTTGCCTCCCTATGTCCTTAGACCAACATGGCTACAACCAAAAACTCTGTAACTAATGTTGCTCAGTCTGAGAGTAGGCTGCATTAAGAGCCTTGTAATAGCCCCTGGTCAGACAAAGTTTAGAGATGGAGCTCTTACAGTTTCAACTGTTTTATTGGGAATTATAATCTATTAGACACACAAGTATGTAAAGGGGTTAGTTTTAGAAAGTATACAGTTTGTTAAAATAATTGAAGAACTTTAATGTGACATCAATTTTTAAACAGAATTCCTCATGGAAATAAATGAGGAGTTTTGACTAAATATTGATGGACTGATAGAGTTTTAAGTAATTAAAAAAACAAAACCAAAAACCTTAACCTGTTAAAATTAGTGATACTTGAGAAATTCAGTGGTCATTAACTCTTTATCCTGAGAGTTAAAAGTCACACTGGCGTGTTATTTCATACTGCAACTTTTTTTCTGGAACACTTTTAGAAATAAATTATTCGGTGAAGTCACACACATACTTGGGACTTGCTTTCACCTCTTTTCTCTTTTTAACCTCCTCCTTAGAAACATGGATTGGTGACATTTGTCGATGTGTTTCTTGAGGAGTTCTCATCTAGGAAATCACTTCTTCTTTTTTCCTTTCTTTTTTCCTTTATCCTTTCCTTTATCCTTTCCTTTTCCTTTTGCCTTTCCTGGTTCCTCACCTTCCATTAGTGCTTTGGCTCGTGCTTTTCCCAAGGGTGTCTTGGCATACCAAGCCTGGATAACAAAAAATAAAGCATGCGACCATTTAATGTATTTTTTCCTGTACAATGGAGTATTTCTTACAGAATCTTAAAATCCTGCTTGGCTTGTGGAGAAGCAGAAAAGAAATCCTTAGATCTCCCAAGAACACTGTTGTAACAAGTGTAGCAACTGTCTGCTTGAAGGGTCCCTCATTAACATGAATACATAGCTGTGCCATTTGTGTTGCTATAGTTATGGGAATGTTAGAACTTCTATGATCAACCCTATTTCCAGGGGTGCATAGTGCTTGTCAAAACTCCCTCTGGTCTGAAACTTGGCATTATAAGGAGTATAATTTTTGGTTGTTCTACAGATCTGTTCATTTGCTTTTAATTTCACTGGGAGAGTAAAAAAAAATCATTAAAAAGCTGTTTATTGGTTTCAGATGCTTGTTCATAGTCCTGTGACTTGTAAATGGCTTTGTTTTAGTTGCTTTGCAAATTTGCCAGGCTCTTGGGCTGTAATGTTAGCAAGGCCTCACTAAGCTCTGTTAAAATAATTTAAATGGTTGAGTTGGGGATGTTCTAAAATTGGTGATGTGGATTAAATGGCCTTTTCCCAAATGGTACTCACAATATCGAAGGCTGTACTAGGGACCAAAATGTTACTAGATATTGTTGTCCATAATAAGGTGCTTTTATTTTTGCAAAGACTGGCCATTCCCATCTTTCACATTACACCAGGAATGAATTTGCCTCTCTCCCCTTCAATCGGAAAGAGCTGTATTTTGATGTCTCTGTTTGTTTTTCACTTTAAAACCTCCACCAAAGCACTTATCTCTCTTGTCTTGCACTCTGGTCTTTTTTCGAATTACATCTGCACCTTCTTCATCCCTGTTCTTTCCTCATCAATTGCACACCAACTGTCCACACGGCTCTCTTCCCATCTGTTGTAACTCAAGTACTGCCTGTAAGCATAGAGTAGCTTCCTGCAAGTTGTGCTTGATATGGCTGCTAAAAGAAGCTCGTTTTGTCTCACTTCCCAGTATGGGACAGGAACAAGCAGTAGGGAAAACTATCAAGACCCTCTGGCTGTGAGAAGTAAGGCCAGTGAATTTGAGGAATTGCTGCTCTTAGCTACTCTCTCTTTCCCAGCCACAGAGCATACTACTCATCTCCCAGGGAACTCGCTGCTCCCAAAGGTGTTCATCTGATCAGAACCTGTAGGGCCTTATGGATTAGAATGGCTTAAAAAGGTAAATGAAATCTAGCATGTGCAAAATGTCCAAGCAGATGCTCAACAGGTACGACTGATTCTGGCCTAGCATCCCTGGTATACAGGAAATATCATTGTCCAAACATGCTTATCTGATTTCATCTTCTTAACTTCATCTTGTACTAATTCAGGACTTATCCAAACCTAGATGAGCTGAATAATTAGATTCTGCCATACCTTGTGGGCATGCAGTGCACATACATTGGGAAGTACTTGAATACCTTTGAGAGAATGAAAGCAACATCTTAAAAACCTTGAGCTCTTGAAACCCGCAGAATTTCTGAAAAGTAATGAAACAATGTGGCAGGTTCCACAGCCCCCTCTATGCATTGGCAACAAAGGCCTTGCTTTATCTGATTTGTAATGTCTGGTTCACTTTTCACGACCTTTTCTGTATTTCCAATTAATTAAATTATTTTAAACTGTGTGTAGCATGATACCTTCTCCAGAAATTCTTTGAACAGGTGGAAATGCTTCATGAAATTATTGACAGCGTCATCATAGCAAGAATAAAAAAAGATTAGATATTCTTATGAACAACAATATCCAGAGTTAGGGTAACAGTGTATCAGGGATTGAAACACTCCAGTATTGGGACATAAGATAATAAATAACTGCCTGGAGCTAGGAAAAACTATGTATGGAGTATGCTATTTCAGAGCTATTTCAGTAAGGGCTTTCTTGTACCCTTTTCTGACAGATCTTGAAATGGCCACTGTCAGAGGCAGCATGCTGGACTGGTTGGTTATAGCTACCCATATGTCTCTGTTTTAGATATTTGTGGGTGCATCTACATGTCCAATTAGTGTGGCTGAATAAACTCTGGTGCAGTATGTGCCAGAGTTTATTGCTCCTGGGCTCACATGTGCACCCAGGACCACAGCATGTTGAGCTGTTGGGGTGGTGCCGGAGGCAACCCAAGCAGGGTGTGGGGCCCGGGGCAAATCAGCCCATGCAGGGCATTGCTCCCACTCCGATCCCGTGGGCCATGGATCCGAAGAAGCTGCCACTGCCATTGGTGACAGTGGTGGTGGCAGCTGGGGGGGAGGGATGACTGACCAGCTCCACGCTGCTGCTGCTCCTGCTCCGCTGGGCTCCACAGGGCCCCCCAAAGCATGGGGCCCAGAGCAGTTGCCTTGATTTTGCCCCACTTAGGGATGGCCCTGGGCGGCGCAGCCCTGGCTGGCAGAGGGAGAGCCTAACAGTCTGGGGCTGCTCCACCCTGCTCAAAGTGCTGCAGAAGGACTGGTTGGGGCATGAGGGCACCACAGTGTGGGGCTAGCTGGCAGGCAGCCCCTGCACTGTAGCACACTTGTGTCCCAGCCAGCCCCAGTTGCTATCTATGTGTGCACTGCAGTGCACTAAACAGCTCCAGCCTAGGAGAGTACTTGTGTTGGGCAGTTCTATTCTACAGTGGCATTAGTTTACTCTGGCCTAATAGTGATGCATGTGTAGATGGTGACACTTTACAGTGGAGCCAGTAGGTCAACTCCACAGTAAAGCGCACATGTAGATGCCCCCTGTGTTTACATATTTAAAGCAGGCATTTTGAGAAAATTGATTTTAAGAAATCATATTATGATAAAGTTTGCGTTCTTCATATTCGTTTTGGGAACAGTGGCAGAATAATAAAGGTCAAATGAGATGAGTATTCAGAGTGAATTGAAATAAAAGATTTTTCACAGTACTAATCCTCCTTTTGAATACTGCTCTAAGTTTTAGCCATTTCACTTAAAAAAGGACAAAGCAAAGCAACAAAGAAGGTCCAGCAAAGAGCAGTGAAAATGATTAGAAGCTATGGGGAAATGGACCTCATATGCAAAGAGATTAAAAGACGTGACTTAATTAACATTGAAGGCTTTCTTGACAATTCTTTCCACTAACCCATAATACCAGGATTACGGCTAAAGTATGTGACATTTAATGGAAACAAATGTTAAAACTGATAAAAGGATATATATTTTAAGGAAGTAATTAAAGCAAGTAAGTAACCGCCACAGGATGTTGAAGAAACTATATTTTAGTGAGCTTCAGAATTGAGTTTTATCATTGTACTTTCTGTTGTACAAAGCATGTATACTTATGCTAACAGGATTAATGTTTGCCATTTTACCAGTTCAATTAAGTTACAACAAAGACCAGGCCTCACACTACAAGGTACAAGTGGATTACTACCTGAAGTTGAGAATTATGATTTTCTTTCTATGTTATAACACTCAGCTATTGTTACCTGAGGCGAGATGCTTAACTGGATGACAAGTGTGATCAAATCACACAAATGTTGGCTATGTTCAGTGTGGCAGAGCACCTTTTGGGGTGCTCACCACTTCAGGGCTCTCACAGGCTCCGAGGGGAGCCTGCTTTGGAGCAGCAGCTGGGAAAACCTTCCCCTGGTACCATTTAAAGGGGAAGATGTGTTGCAGGGCACTGTGGGTGGGTCAGGTGACACTGGAGGTAGTTGGGGGCCAGGCACAGCTGAGGGCACCTGAGCCCACTGGGGAGCGAAGCCTCGTGGCCCCAAGTGAGGTGGCGGTGTAGAGCCCCAGTGAGGGGGGCAGAAATGAGGACCCCAGTGAGGGGGTAGCCCTGAGTGAAGGGGGTGGTGTGGAGTCCTGAATGAAGGTGGGGGCAGAACATAGCACACTGACATGTTGCTCCAGGGGGGAGTGAGAGTCCCCTGTGAGACCCTGGAGCACTAGTCATGGTGCCGGGTAGGAACGCCCTGGTGAGGGGTAGCCCCAGTGGGGGGTGGAAAGAACCAGAAGGAGGAGTGCCCAGTGTGTCTACATGTAGCGAGTTGCCCCCAGAAGGGGCCAGAGTAAGCTTAGGCCTGGTCGGGGAATTGGCTAGCTACTACCCCGGTGATGGTCGTGGGAGAGGCCAAAAAGATGGTACATCTGCCACCCAAGGGATGGACTAGCTAAGCCTATGACCTAAGCAGCTTGCTTCAAGAGGGAGCAAGGCAGAATAAGTTGCCAACAGATGAAAGAGACCCTGTGAGAGAGGGTGGAGTGTGTGAGGTCTGAGTGAGAGGTGGGCGGTATGAGTGTGCAAGAGACTGAAGCCTGACAGCGTGGCCTAAGCTTGCTCCGGCTGTAGGCTGGGAGCATGTTGTCATCTGGATGCCATCTGCGAGGCATGGGCTGCAGTGTAGGGAAGGTGCGGGGGATGCCCAAAGGCAAGTGGGACAACTAGCAGTCTGGCTAATTGGGGAGCCCCACTCCACCACATTCAGAAAACCAAATGTTTCTGAATGGAGTTGGGAATATATTCATCAGGAGGTGGGGGAGTACATGCACCAGGATGATTTTAACACTAAGACACAAAGGTCTAGACAGATTCCGTATCTCATCTGAGCTATCTCTCTGATGATGAGTGACTCATTTTTGTGTGTTCAGATTGCTAGAAACTGTGTGCTTTTTGTTGCTAGAGGAATAAAGAATAATCACATTAGGGTTCTAAATTAATATTTAAAATAAACAGTTGAACCAAATCCCCTTCAGACTATCGAGAGAGATTTTTCTTTTTTTTCTGCAGCACCAGATAAGCTCTATGCCAGGTACAGACATTACACTTTTACAGGTATAAGTGACTGGAAACCAATCTATACCCATAACAGAACAGAAGTTCGGCACACAAAACCAGTCTATACCCATAACAGAAGTTCAGCGCACATAGATTGGTTCAACAGTGGTGGAACCCAGTCTAAGATTTGCACCCCCCACTAAAGGATGAATGTGTTTTCTGTTCGCTAGTTCTCTAAACTATGCAGCTTACAGAAAATTACATACCTTAGATCAGTTCTGCCATGGGCTTTTTGAAAGTTTGTACCTAGCCCTAGTGCTCTGCTGTGGGCTGTAGCAGAAATACCCTATCTTGCAAAGTGCTTGATGACTGGAATCTGAGCTAGCTAGTTTAAAATTGGCTTTAGTATTTCTACTGCAGTCACTATTGTGACTTCAGTATGGACACATGTGTTTTGGTAAACTATCGCTGCCAAGAAAGCAGAAAGTAACTCAGTGGGTGCATCTACACATGTAGTTTATGTGCAGATATAAACTCAGGTAAATTTTGTGCTGGAGTCAGCTGGTCCTCAGCACAGTATCTGCACGTATACCCAGAACTGCAGCACTTTGAGCTGAGGTGGAGCAGCCCCAGGCTGCAGGGGACCCTGAGGTTCAGCCCCAGGCTCTGGGTGACAGCATCTAGGCTAGCTGGAGCACGACGGTACTAAAGTGTGGGGCTAGGTGGCAGGCAGCCCCCACACTCTAGCACTCCCATGCCCCAGCCAGCTCTGTCACTGTCTACACATGTTTTGGTGGAGTAAATTACTCTGCTGTAGGATAGCAGTGTCCCTGACGGTACTATTTTATGGCGGAGTTAATTAATTTACTGTGCCCTAATATCGGTGCATGTGTAGACCGTGACACTTTACTGTAGAGCTAATTAGTCAACTCCACTGTAAAGCACATGTGTAGATGCACTGAGTGAAAGAAGACTTAATCCCTGTGTAACTATATAATCCTGGTCTACAGAAAGAGAATCCTGTTGCAAAATGTTGCAAGTGATCCATGTGTACTTGATGTGTATGAAGGGCGGGGTCTGTGTACCCTTCAAATTCATTTACTTTGTGAAATTTTCTGGTGCAGAAATATTTTTCTTCCTCAGTAGACTAAGTAAGAAAAACAACCATTTTTCAGAGAATGTTCTTGCTTTCCTTCTCCCACCCCTCCTCTGAAAATAGTAGAAAGTATTCATTAATAAATAGAAAGAGTTTTTGAAGAGACAAAGCCGAATTCTCTCTATTATCAAGCAAAAACCTCAAATGTGCTTGGATGACAACATGGAAAGAAACATTGTTAACATGTTAATTTCACCTTGAACATATCTTCTTCCTCTTTGTACACTGGGTCCTGCCTGGCCAGGGCACCCATGAGCTCAACAGCTGTTAGTGGTTTTTTGTTCAACTGCCTGATGCGTCTTTCAGTGAGGACAGTTTGCGCTGCATAGATAATGTGTCCCTGGGTGAAACCATCAGACATTTTTGCCAGGCAACTAATGGTTGGTGATTTGGACAGAGAGCCTCCGTTCTGCAGAATGATGTGTTTCCATAAGACTTCATCACCAACAGGAGAGGAAAGAGAAACCCAAAAACATGCATTAAAGAACAAGAGAACCGGTATAGATGCCTTGACTAATCACATTGGCTATGGACAGAAATTACACAAAAGTATAAGTGAACAGAAACTGATTTTTAAATCTGTAACACAACAGAAGTTCAGTTCACATAAGTTGCTCTCAAAATGGCCAAAACTGGGTTAAGATAAACCTGCATATATCAGCCTTAGTTTAAATCTGTTTATCGAACCTCTTTCCCATCTCCCCTCCAGATTCATGTTAACTCAGTCCCCCAGCATCCCAGGATGTTTTGCAAGCTCCCCCACTTGCAGGGTGGGCGGGCTATCCTTAGCCTAAGCTATCTATTCCAGCTGAGCAAGGAGGTGTGCTTTAGTGCTGCCTGGCTTCTGGCCTGGGCTACTGCAGGCATGTGGCTGCATTTCCGGAATCAAAAGTGAATGTCTGTTCACTTGCTTATTAGTTAAATCTGCATAGCTTAGATTAACCGGCAATGATTGAACTGATTCAGCCTTGGCTTTTTGAGTATCTATACTTAGCCTTTGAGCTTCAAGTTGTGGGAGAGAAAAGAAAACCATGAACTATCAGAATCGGCAAAATCTGATCTGATTTGTGAGCGTAGGCACACTGTACACATGGAACAATATAGCTTATATATAGGTTATAACATGGATACATGCGGTAGTTTGATTGTTTTTCAGAGGTGCTGAGTAGTAAAGTCAGTTTAGTTGTAAGACTTGCTACTTTGATTAGATGTCTAAGGCTGTTACTAGTAGCATAACTGGGGGATTGGGGAGATGCAGAAATAGCTAGCACTGTGGTGGAAGCCAGTGCTACCTTGTGAGTCATGGATGCCCCTGTCATGGAAATGTCCTTCTACACATGTGGCCCTGATTCTCAAAGACTGGCGCATTTAAAAAGATGCAAGTTTTTGGGGACAGCACTTATGTTTATATATTCTAAAGTGGATTTATCTCGCATCTGTCTTCTAACTTGTGCCCACTTTTGTTGTTTGGAAAGTACTTAGTACTCGGGGCCTATCACAGGTGGGGCCAGGAGGGCCATTTGGCCTGGGCCTCTCATTCTTGGAGGGCCTCAAATTTAGACTTCTGACATTATCTCCAAATGAGGTTATACATACAGACTCAGAGATACACTGACAGGATTGCAAGAAGAAGATGTTCATCATACAACTTTAAACTTGTCCCATTACTGGGCCACACCACTTGTAGTGCACTATGAATTAATATTTTTTAATATACCGGGAGCTTCAAAAAATGGAAGTGGCCTGGGCCTCTCTCGACCTCTGAGAGGGCCTGTTAGTACTTTATGGATGCAACAGAAAATAAGACTGGCAAGAATTACTTATTTGTAGCTTCATCCTTTGTAAATGAATGCATGCGTCTCAAAGACATGCTGATTAAAATCTTTATCATGCATCCCATGCATTTCTTATATTCTTATGTATCTCTACAATCTTTTCTAATATTTTCCCTCATCTGAAAAATTATGAGATTGAAATTATTCCTTAATATGATAGTTTAGTTTGTCATCTGAGTAATTGGGGTTTGAAGACACAGTGCATGATGACATGCAAAGGAGAAAGTTAAAATCAGAGGACTGTTGCTGCATCTAGTAATAGTCTTCATGTAACAGAGATAATCTGCTTTCCCTGTTCTTCTATTGTTATGTATATGTTATGGACTTATACTCATTGACAGCTTTGTATCACATTTTTCATTCTGGCAAACGGTGATCTCCAACTTGATTTATAACTAAGCTCAATAACTATTGGCTAAATCACTGATTCATAATAGAGAAATTGATGCATAAAGCAGTCGAACATTTATTTTGTATGTCAGGGCTGTGTAGTGCGGGGGCCCTCTTTTGAGGTGATGATTTTAGATGGAGTAAAATCTTTGTTTGCTAATATTGAAGATTTAATAAACTGTGGTAGGAACTCTCCTTTTGATTTCCAAATTCACGATGAATAAAACCCATAAAATAGTCGGCCAGTCCTGCTGGTTTAGATGTGTGTGGGGTTTTGTTTTTTCTTCCTTTTCAGTTTCCAAGCCATGCCCTCCCTCACTCTCCTAACTTAAGAGAAGCTTTCTGTTGTTAATGTGTTAGGTGTCCAGAATATTGCAACACATTATAGCTCTGCATAGAGTCCATGTCCCCTCTGTTCTACAAAAAATATAGTGTAGGATGGAATTACAAGACACTCTCTTCTTAATACAGATAAAATCTGTATTTGCCTGTATGTTCACTGGAAAGGCAGCATCAAACTGTTTTGACTAGTTTTGTCAATGCTGGACTTCACAGGACCATAGAACAATTTAGTAATACACTAAACATAGACTGTAATGCTGCTATTTTATTTAGGGCACGATCATTGTGTAAATGCGTGCCTTGATCTAATTGTAATTGCAGCACAGCTTGGAATGAGGAGGTTTATCTTAATTCTGTTTTCCATTGGGACTAGAGATGAAAGTGATGGCGTAAGTGTAAAGAAGGACTGTTGTAGCAGTTGTAATCAACTCAGAGGTTCATGATTATTTCTTTGGGCTGAGGGTCTTGATCCAGTATCTTGGTGTGTATTTTTGTTTTGTTTTGTTTTTCCCAATTCCAATCCAACACAGTACATCTTTCCAGGCAAAGGGAACTTACTGACAAATTAAGTTGTTCCTGGTTTTTGAACTTCAACTCAGTTATCCATATTAGTTTAATGGCTTCTGTGGCTATGAAAAACACTGGACTCTTATGAACCGTGGGAAAGTGATTTCCAAAGCTAAAAAACTCACCACTTGGAGTGCCTTGTCACCCCAATTCTCTCTCTTTTAAATGAGGAATTCATTACAATGAGTGATGTCTCAACTGCTGACTTCCATTTAATGGTATCAAAGGGGGAAAGGTCTTTTTCATGGGTGGTGGTGGTGGGGTTTTACTGGCAGTTTGCTTTAGTGCTAGTCACATCTTTGAGATGGCTTTTATGAAAGTCTGCTTGCCACATATGACTCTGGTTTGCATTTTGAACTCTGTCCACAAAACTGATAGCCACAGTGCAGAAATGTGCACATCTATATTAATAACTAGAACCTGTTAAGCTTTCAAGAAACCAGAACTCCAGGCAAATCATTGTTAAAACTTATATTCTATTTCACTCCTGCAGGAAGGAGGTTGGCCAGACGGCAGAAATGCATTAACTGAATACAGAGTGTAAATCTTAACTGTAAATATTTTCCGGCATCTGTCAAGTTTGCCTTGGAAGCTTAGACTTTGAGCCAATTTTTTCTCGTGCATCTCTGACTTCAGTGGCAGAATTTAGCCTTCTTTTTTAAAAAAATGCAAGACAATAAAAATAACTAACAATGTGAATTAATGGTAGTTATGAAGCACCTGTCAATCACAGCAAAGATGTCAGATTTGACAGGCTGGATATATAAAATCTTGAGGTTTTGTAATTTTTTGGTGATCTGTAAACACAAAAAAGACTTTGATAGTGATAAAACACAACCTTCTAAAAATGTTTTTTTTTTTTATAATCGAAAAAACAGCTAGAAATAAGAGCAATTCAGATTTCACTTCCTGCTAAAAAAAACCCTGTTAGAAATAAAAATGAACACCCAGATGAGTTCTCTTCATTCATACAGATAAAAATAATAGTCCAGGTTCAAAATTCAAGGTAGCTTAAACATAAATACATAAAATGAAGGATGGTCACAGCAGAACAAAGATTTTTTTTCTCCTTTATTTTTGTGACACTGTGATTTTTAAGTGATCTGTGACTGTGCTAACTGAAATCTCAGGTGCCAAGCTGCACAGAGTGTGTTAATTGAATTGAACACAGCATGTTGTGATGATAAAGGATTTGGATAGCGGTCAGTAGTAAAATGCTATATAGTAACTTAATATACTTGCCAAATCTTGAAGCATAGTCTGGCCTGGGGATCAGTATGATTTTTTTATACACTTTGCAGAAAGGTCTGAGGTCAGCATCAAAGGGTCGGGTGGTGGTCCCCACAATCAGAACTCTGTCCTCTGCTTTCAAACTTTTTAGAATTTTGGGGAGATTCTTCTTCAAACGCTTAGGCTCCATCTTCGACAGCATGCATATAAATATAGGGAACAATGAAATGTTAGCACTGATACCTCAGTTAAACGGATGAAGTAACTCTGGTTGAGGAAAACAACTAAAGGGCTCAGTATGCTTTGCATCTCTGAAAAGCAAAGGCACATTTACATTTAATGTAAACAGAGTAGATGCTTATCAAAAATCGAACTTATTGGGCCTTTGTCTCCTGGACTTTTCAAGGTGAAGCAGCACTTGATTTGTATTATGGAGCTATGGTTTTGGCTGTTAGTATTACCCTGTTCTAGCTGCTTGCACTGACTTATGGGAAAGCAGGAAGGAAGGAAGCCTGTTCAAAGGAAAAGGTCCCGTCTTTGGCCTGTGGATGAATATCACATGGAGCTGTGCGGACTTGGCAAGCTGCAACAGCAAGTAAACTTGTTAGGCTTTATCATCTTGTTTGTGCTGCTTGCACAGGTTGGAGATACAGCTTTACAAACAGGTAACTGTATTTTCCATGATGGAAATATGCATATCCTCAAACTCTGCCCTGATTTTACCTTAGCGAGACTCAGAATTTATAACCTGAAATACCTGGCTGCATAAACTCAGTACTTGCTTACCTCAAGTTGTTTGCAATCAGATTTTTATTATAAACCTTACACCAACTTGCAGGGAAAGCAGAATGTTCTGCAGAACTTCTTATTGTTTAGGAATTTATTGTGATGTTCATCCAAATACTGCTAAAACACTAAAATCAAGTTGCTGAGGTGTTACTGTATCATTACAATTTATAAGAAGATATATGTAGGTAAAGTCACAAAATAACTGAAGCAAAAGGTGGGGCCAAATTTCCAAGAATCTAAGTGACCTTGAGAGGCAGAGTCTCATTTTTTCAGAAGTCATTTGGGAGGGCAATCTGGATTTTGCCAATATCCAAAATTTGGGCAACAAAATGTTTAAAAATGAGGTACCTGGCTGTAGCGGGGTGATTCAAGGAAGAGAGGGTTACATCCCTAGGCTTCTAATCAAGCATCTTTGAAGGAGGGGATGATTACAGGTAGCCAATTTAGAAATGCTAAGTACTGGGATGTGTCTGAACTCTTGCCCCTTTTAGAGCTTAAGTGCCTGTATCTGGGCTACACATTAGGTCAGGGGTGCCAGAGAATGGCATGTGAAGGCAATGTGCTTTCACATGCACCTTAGGGTGGATGGTGGGGTAGGGGCCAGGGCTGTGCTGCCACAACAAGGATCAAGCCCCTCGAGGCTCCCCTGCCATCTGCCCCCTGGTATGCTAGCATCTTATAAGTTAAGGTTGCAGCTGTTTTCAGCACTTTGCCAAAAAATGTTGCCGACCCCTGTGTTTGGACATTTCCATAGATTTCATAGACATTAGGGCTGGAAGGGACCTTGGAAGATCAAGTCCAGCCCCCCACCCAAAGGGCAGGAAGTCAGCTGGGGTCATAGGATCCCAGCAAGATAAGCATCCAATTTGCTTTTGAAGGTGTTCAATGTAGGTGCTTGAACCACCTCCGATGGCAGGCTGTTCCAGACCTTGGGGGCTCGGACAGTAAAGAAATTCTTCCTTATTCCCATCCACTTGGGTCCCAGTGTGGGGTCTTCTGAAGGTGGGTGCCTATCTGAGCAGGATGTATGTGTTAGCAGCATCTGTCTTTTGTATAAAAACCTAGTAGTTACAGTATTTGCCAAGGAAGTGTGCGGAATCTAGATTATGGATCCCCTCAGCCTGGGAAAGGATTCAAATCCACATATTCCTTCTCCCAGGAGAATGCCCTTATAAACATCAGGCAATGGAATAGTCTGGGTGAAGGCACTCTTCATTCCTGCTCTTGAAGTATGGCCACTGGGCAGCCATGAATGCAAAAGTCATGGGAACAGAAGGAGAGGAAGTAGAAGAAGATCTGGTTCTCTTAGTGTTTAGGGTACTTGGCTAGTCCTTTCAGGACTTCTTTTTGCAACTTACATTCCTAAGTGTCAACTAAGTCCTGTTCAAGGATCTACTTTACCGCAGCCAGGCAGGCATTTAAGTGCCAAAATTGTCTAGGCTCTTTAAAAATTGGAATCTGAGTTGCTTTTCACATTTTACTGCATACCAAGCAGCAACATTTTACTGTATACCAACCATGGAATGGTCTCTTCAATATAAAGTATCTCAGTTTCAGTATTATATAGTTTATGCCACGTTAATCTACATCACATCCTTGTCAGACAATAAGTTATTTGCAGCTCTTCGTAATAGTAACCATAATGCCCACCTAAGAGGAGAAAGTGGGAAGTCAGGGAAACACCCCAAACTCAAGGGCCAGAGAATTCCCCAACTTTTCTAGCTTATTTTGTAAAAAAAATAATAATAATAAAAAAAAATAAAAAATAAAAAATACATGTACCCTAAGACTGTGCAAAGCTTTGGTCCCTGATTCGATTCAGCGGAGATTTGGCCCGATTCAGTGGCCGAATCTCTGAATCGGAATCGAATTGGGAGACCCTTTAATCTCTCCAAATCAATCCAGAGATTTGGACATAGACACACCTTTAAATGTTTTTTCTACATATCTTTAGGTACCAGGTAGCTTGTGAATGCTGAGATGCTAGGGCAGATGGAGCGTCCCACAGCAGCATGGTGGGGTCCCCAGTGTGCTAAGCAGCAGACCTGGAAGTAGACCAGAAGCACTTCTGGTCCACCTCCAGGTCCACTGGGGAGCATGCTGGGGGGCTCCCCTGTCTCAGCGACTGGTGCCTCCTGGGCCTGGGGGTGTGGCACCCGGGGTCCCCCACAGCCAATTGTTGAGCCAGGGGGATTTGGAGGGGCAGTGCATTTCCCCAGTGGACCCAGAAGTGGACCAGAAGTACTTCCGGTCCACTTTCAGGTTTGCCACCAAGCATGCAGGGGGGCCCCACACACCCATGGGGGATGCTCCATCTGCCCCAGCATTCATGAGCTGTGCCTGGTACTTCAAGGTATGTAGACAAAACATTTAAAGCTGTATCTATGTCCGAATCACTGATTCTCCAAATCGACATTGAATCTTCAGATTCGGATTCGGCCGAATTGAATTGGGGACAGCGATTCGAATCACTGAATTGAATCACTGTCCTGGATTTGGGATGAACCTGAATCAAATACAGCCTGCTTTGTACACCCCTATTGTACTCTCCCTCTCTTCCTAGGTTGTTTTTCAAAGATATGTTGAGCATCTGTTTCTTAGATTGCTGACTGATTAGTAAGCATTAATAAGCACTGACATGTTGGTGGATACCACAGCTTGGAGGACTAAGAATAAGGCCTTTGAACCCCAAGCTTCCAAGTTTTTAGCTTTGCTACTGACATCTTAGGTGCCCTTTAGTAAGTAATTTTATTTCATTGGTCTATCCATATAAGACTGTCACTGAAAGAACTTCAGAAAAGAAGCATGAGTTAGTAAATTTGTTCTGTTAATGAGGATTGGCCCTAGGTGCATTAAAATGGGCTTGTGCTTAGCTAAAGATACAGAGTGTCTATCACTAATACATAGGGACCTACCAAATTTGCAATTTCATGGATTCCACAAAATCAGCAGCAGTCCTTAGCATGCTGTGGCAGCTAGGTGGGAGGAAAAAGGGAGAGGGTTCCTGCTCAAAGGGCTGTGAGCAAGATGGCTGCCATCCCCTGACACCTCACCACTGACTGGCTGTGAGGCCTACCTGTCATGTAGTGCTGCCCATCTCTACCAACTGGTGGTGACGGGTAGGGCTGCATCATGGGCAGTCTTTGCAGCTAATCAGTGGGTGCGGGGCAGGGCAACGTGACAGGCAACCCCTGCAGCCACTCGGTGGTGAGGGGCAGGGCCAATGGGCTCCTTTAACTAATCAGAGACATGGGAGTCCTATTGCACCCCACCTGCAAAATGGCTGCCCAGGCCTGCCTTCTACCTGTGAAATGGAGGGGCAGCCTCTATGAATTAGGTAGGTCCCTACTAATATAGCCATATGGGTTGATGCTTGATTACTTTTTAGAGGTGTTGGAATGTTAATGTTAAATTGTTTTGAAGATAAAAACTTCTACATCAGTGAGATAATTATTATTATGATTGCATTCAGTGGGTTTAGAAATTAACACCTCACTGAAATAAGTGGTAGAGGTTAAAGATACCACTTGGTTCACAGGCAAGCAGTACATCCCCTCCACTGGGAAGACTGTTTGTAATAGGAAATATCAAACAATTAAATTCTCACCTGCTATTTCCCCTGGGACTCATGCTAAGTCCTAATTTGTCAATTACATCTTGAGCAATCAGCTTTGTGACGGATGATATTTTATATATTTCTACTGACAGAGTTGGTTACAGTAAATGCTTATTCTGTAGACATCTTATTCTTAAAATTTAAACAACTGTACCTGTGCCAAAAACGGTCTAAATTTTCTCTTCCTGTTGGGTGTATTGTGAAGGTGACCCTTTTTTGTGCCAAAAGACAGTTGGTGATTATTTCTTGTCAAATATCCTCGGCAACTGGGTTACCATAACAAATGTGTACTTTACTGTCTGGCTCTCAACTGTGGGAAGATAGTAAAATGCTGATCTGGCCAAAGGGACAATGAAGGCCAGTTATATAATGGGCCTTTAAAAAATTAAGGTAATTTATTAATGAAACCTAAGCCACAATGGCAAAATTGTTTCTGGTTGCAAGACTGCCTTTCACTGAATTCATATCTATTTGGGGGCAGAATTTAGCTCACATTCTCCAACAGCTTTACTGCTTCTCCATATTTCTTGACTCCATTTTCCTTATGCTGTTACTTCTTTTCTTTTGGGCCTTTCTTACTGAGCCCTGAACTGGATAACTGTTAGTGTTAAAAGGAAGAATAGATACCTTTATCTGGTTCAGATTATTGTATGTAGCTCATGCTGTGTATATAGGAAAATGAGCTTGGCTGGTGAGCCTGTCCACTGCCTCCAAAAGGACTGGTGATTTTCTGCTAAATATTAATGCATCTGCACACAATTATGCAAGTGCCTCTAGTGCAGCATTTCTTTTTGAAGTTGTATAATGGCCAGAAGCTTTCCTTTGATCACAAACATAACTGAAAAGTGGACAATGACAAATACTCCAGGCAGTATTTGACCTACAATCTTATTTTCAATAGTAGCTACTATCAAGATTTGAGACTAAGGAAATTATTTGCTTTCAGTATAGTATGTCAACCACCAGAGGGCATCAATTGCTACATACATAGGTCATGCAATAAGCAATCTAAACAGTTTTCAAATGATAGGCTAATCTAACACAATTAGTATTTCAACAGTTTCCTAATATTATTACTTTTATGTCCAGGTAAAAATGGAGCCATTTTAACTTTAAAGACAGACTTTCTAGCTGACATGGGACTGTCAGGATTAAATATATCTGCAGACCTGCTGCAAACTAAGTGAATTTAATCTGAATATCCCATCTAACAGATTTTTTGCTGTTGTATAAATTGCTTAGGAAGGAGCATTGTTCTTATCTACAAATCTTTGACATTTCTTTCTGGTGGGAAGTTGCTAATGATGGGAAGGAAAGGAAGTAATTGAACAGTACTCCCAGGTGGCAAAGAAATCTGTAAACTTAACTGTTTAACACGTGTTCTTTGTTTTTTACAGTGGGAATTTGTCCTCGCTACGTTATTGTTGACCCTAATTAGGCCCAGTTTCTAAAATTAATAAAGCTGAACCACTTGAGTTTATTTTAATTCCTAGTTTCTTGCTTCATATTTTTAAATTCTCCCAGATTTGTTTTCCTTCTTTTATTCAGCATTATTTCTGTTGCACTTCCATCAGCACTGAGCAGTGACTGGATTACTTTTAGATAAGGCTGGTATAAGTGTGCAGAGAGATGTGACTTTTAAAGCCTGTGAGAGGTCACCAGAATGTCTTTAAAAAAGTTAGTGAGACAAGCTATTATATAGTGAGCATTGGCAGGTCTGGTCATACTGGTACATGTTAAGCTAGGAAATGTACCTGTTCTCTTTTTGTCAGTTCTAATATAGCATGTGAAATTATTATAGGCACTGGAATCAAACAGGAGCATTTCACCTCTTTTTCAGCCTTCGGCACTTTTTTGTAAAACGTTTTTTCTGTGTCTCCAATCCACACGACTGAAGGCTGCAGTTGCTTAGCCACCTGAAAGAATATGGTAGAGGAAATTTGTGAAGTTGATTAAAATGCTTAATATGTCAAATCTGGGTGTCTCAAACTAAGTTCTAAAATTCATGGTTAGGCTGTTACACAAATGTAGTTTGACTTTTTTTTCTTTTCTTCCCAGAACTGCTGAGCACTTGCAATTACCATTGCTTTACTGACAAATTAGGCCACTTCTATTTAGGAGCCTACTGTTATGGACTCAGCCCATGTTCAAAAAATTTTGGCTAACATGTTTACTACACATCTCCCAACTCCAATTTGATCTTGAATTAACAGGTAACATGGTTTTATTTTGGCAACAGAAGGTCTGTGTTCCAGAGTTGCATAATACGTTTAAGCAAAATAGGCTGATATAAAATGACCATGTGCACAAGGCATTGCAGATTTAGGAGCTTAACATAAGAAATAAAACACAATATATGAAGTTTTTGGAGGCGCTTATTAAAGTCTTTACTAGCTCAAAATGTGGATGCACTATACTACTGGTTCACAGCAGGATGGCAGCAACACTACAGATTTTTACACATCTGCACGCTGTCTATTGCTATAGTAACACCATTGGTTTCGAAATTTTGCTGCCAAATATTAATCACATTTTTAGTTGCTATCATCATAGCTATGCTAGTTTGCCCAGTGACAAAAGAACTGGTTGTATGAATAAATTGTACCACACACCAATTAAATATAGTTACATTTTTCCATTCTGCATTTTCCAGCTGAAGCTCTTGCTACTGAAAAGAAGCATATAAATATTATAGGTTGTATGTATCATAATGCTTGATTAACAACCATTCTAGGATTCTCAGTCAGTGAAAGAAGAATTACGTGAAATAAACATTCTTTTCAAAGTACGTTAGCCTGGTTGGATCATTAAGAACAGTAGGGAAAATGTGATAGGTTAAAGTGCATTTTGTAACTCGAGTTTGTCTTCAACGGTGTTGATAAATAGAGAGGGACTAATGCTATTTTGTTAAACAATACTTCTGTTGAGATTATCTAACAATTGTGAAATATGACAAGTGGTATCCCTGAATTCATTACTAATTAAAGGAATAGGAAGCTTCTTCACTCACTTTGGAAAGTGTAAAATAAGTGCTATTATTGAAGAAGATTCATGATGAAAATATTGGAAAACTGTAAGTTGCAAAATTTCTCACAGGCAGATATCCTGTGTCTATCTATCCATATATAAAGGAAAAGAGAGGAAAAGTCATCAAGTTGCATAAGGAATAAATAACTTGGTTCAAAGAAATAAAATTGCACAAGAAGAATATTTAACCTATAAGACAAAATGACCTTAAATAAACTAGCTGATATTTTCATAGGCATATTTTGGGCACCCCACAACTTAAACACTGTAGGGATGTATTGAGATGGTACTCTTGAAAACATAGTCTCTATTCTATTGTAATAGCATAGCCAATTTAGAGATGCAGGGCTCTTCTATTGAGCCACCTTCATACCAAATATTTGATTCCTGCATTGCTGAATAATACTAGTTAGGTAGATTGTTAGCTCTATGAAAGGCCGGTCTGAGGTAGACAAGTCATGGAGGGAGGAAAAAAAAATCCTAGGTCTAGCCAAGCTTGCAGAAGAAAATTTAGGCTGAAATTTAAGTAGTCTTATTGTATGTTACCTACAAAACTAAATCTCCTTAAAGGGATACGTTTGGGCAATATCAAGCTTGTATACAATCTATTCAGAGATATGTGGGAATCCTATGTGCTTGTTTGAATATAGCATAAAATCCATAGCAAACGGAACAACTAACCAGCCTGCAGTCATGAATTACTTTATATTAGTTGCAGAGGGAGTTTGTGCTTTGAATTGTAAGAGAACACAGGGACTGTACTCTCCATACTTCCCTGGAAAGGCAGCCAGGGAAGATATGGGCAGTGGGATTTAACAGAGGGACTGTGCTAGCCTGAGGTCAAGTGTCTCCTCCTTGTCCCCCATTTGAGGCTAGGGTTAATTGCTACAATTTAGATTTCTATTTATGGTCATATGCTTGGAGGAATTGTAAGTATGCACTGAATGGAGAGTAATTTTTCTGCTGGTATTTTTATTTTACACGGTAAGCTGGTCTGTCTTAAGTCTGGTTAGAAGTCCAGTCTTCCCAATTGTTATAGAAAAATATATGCTCTGTACCCCTTATTAGAAGGTACAGAGCATATGAAGCATGTCTAATAGTACTCTGAAGGTTAAAATATGGGGGATAATGATGGCAGTTGCTTAACTGAGAGATGGCGATGGGGCCAGCAGCTGTGGACACTGCCTTTGCGGGGGCATAAGGGCACAGAAATAGCTGCAATCAGTGCTGGTTGGTCATGATACTGTGATTGGCACCATGGCAGCCAGAGCTGCCCCATACATGGAGCTGTGCTACCTTGCTTCAGAAGGATGGGGATTTACCCAAAGTGTTTGGCAAACAGTGAAACACCCATTACCATGAGTGGGCAGAATTAGGCCAATGCTGGATTCTTCTGGAAATCCCACCGTAAGTGTGGTATGTTTTATATTTACATGTCCGCATAATTCATATACAAAACCCCATTTTGAGACGTTCTCTGGTATCACATAATTTCCTCGGTTATCCTACTATGGCCTTTCTTGAGGCAAAGAATGCTGGATGCAACTTCCCCTGGTTCCCCCTTGGTTTTGTCCCTTCACTGAAGATGTTGGAGAGATGAGGAGCATTTGTCTCTTCCACTCACGATTTTAGTGGATTGCTTCTGCAGTACCATCAAACTTCAAAAACAGAATGAATGAGACCCATACCTGTTGCAGCACATTGTTTGCTAGCAAGACAATAGTGCCACCTTTTTATTTTCAATAACATTTAACACTATTCTTTCTTTTGGCATCCCCATTACTTTCTCTTCTCATCTATTTCTCTGCTGCCAAAATTAACTGGAAAAAACAGAGCAGAAAGTGGGTTCACTCACCGACTCTTGAGTGAAGCAGATACTTAAATGATTTCTGCTTGCCAAATCACAGCACTGATTTTTATGAACAGACCAATGTATGTGGAGTTTGCTGGTTTCATGTTATACACTGGTGATTTTGATTCAACACACTGCTTTTGTGCTGATTTTTTAAAAAAAAGAAATCAGACACCCATAATCCACTGGTATCTAATTTAAATTGTTGGCAGATATGAAGCAGACTGTATATCCCCATGAAACTGCTTCATTTGAATTATCCATGGGTAGTTTGAATCCATGGCTAATTAAATGCACTTTAAGTAATTAATCTGTAATTGAAATTTTATTAGCATTGCTGAATTCAACAATTTGTTGGAGTCACCAGCAGATGGCTCCTTAACCCTTCTAATACTGCATTAATGTAGCAACAGCATTTGGTAAAAACAGATGCCTATTGTTGTTTTAGCTACTAATCTGATACAGGTTTGAGAACAAATGTTCTTTCCTGTAACTCTTGCTCCCTGAATCCACTCACATTAATAAAAGGTGCATAAATTCTGCATGTGTTTAAACCTTCATTTTTTTTCATGACAAGCCTTTGTACAAAATGCCTTACCTGGGTTATCTTGCACTACTGTATTAAACAGAATATAAAGCAACAATTCTGGTGATTTTTTTTTTGTCTCTGAATTTCTTATAAATTACATCCACTGTGATTCTGCTCAGGGGTTCTCTTGTATTTAAAAAATACTGTCACAACATGTTGGAAGGGGGTGGACATCTTAAAGCTATTGTTTCAGCTAAGCTTTAGATTTGATGCTCCCTAGCTTCAAGTAGTATGATATCTGTAAAAATGTACACTAACATTTTCAAACTTGCATCTCAGTGTATAGTCCCCCAAATAAATGGCCTGATTTTCATAGTTGGGCAAATGGCAGTTTCCCCAAGCTTGAAGATTTCAGCTTTAATTAAATAGACAGGTTCTGCAGAAGTTGATGAATCACTAAAAATTAGATCAGTCTATCCACTGATTATTATAAATTATACAGCTGCCCCTATTTGAGATGATGAGCCTACATAAAGCAATACTGGATTAAAACTGATGAAAATCGGAAACGAATATTTGATCAGAAAAACATGAGGCTGGATAGGGCAATTATTTAATTTTTATGCTGATAATTCAGGAAGCTTAAAATAGAGTTCCTTTACCAGGCATTTTAAAAAATAAACAATATTGTGAGCATATAGAGTGTAATGATTAAAATTCTTGAAAAGGATAAGTTATATTGTGCTTTAACTTTGGGGGAAAAACACAAGATAAAGTTGACTTCTTTAAAAAAAACAAATTACTCAAATACAAGATGAGGGTGTTTTTCTTACATTCACATACAAGGAAACCTCATTAAATACACTGTCTATCATAAAATTGCTTCCAAAAGCAGCACGTGCTCAGTAATGGAACCCAACTATGAAGCTGATTAAATTCAGCCAATACTAAGCATGATTTTAAAACACAAGGCCCATATTGCATAAACATGCTCATAGAGGCGTGTGTGTCCATGTCCCTGTCCCTTAAAAAAACAGCAGTTGCTCCCCAAGGAAGGAATGAGGACTGGGCCTAGATGTACTGCAATACTAGGCTGACACTCAGAGAGGCTGAAGCAAGCTCCAATACCCTCTGTGGGTGCCCGAAATGCTAATTAAAAAAAAATAAAATAAAATTTGTTTCCAAGGGGCAAGCTTTTCTGGATTAAGTTCCAAATTTTGACTAAGACGAGCTCAATTGTTCCAGTCTGTGTGGTCCTACCACAAGCAAATAGCCTACCGCCCAGACTCATCAGTCTGGGGCTTCTGATCCTCCCAAATCCATGCATCCTATGTGCAAGCCCTGAGCCCAGGGGCCTTGCCAAAAAATGTTGAAAGGAACCTGCTGGGGGTTTGGCCCGGGTGTGTATTCCCTTCACAGGGAACTGACACCAGGCCTGGAGGGACTGCAATACTAGGTTAGCACTGGGAGGGCCAAAAGCAGCCCTGACACCATCCCCTTGTGCCAAAAGTGCTTGATCTTAGCCAAAAGGCCCAGATTTATTTATTTTTAAATTTTTAATGTTCCATGCCAAATCAGCTAAAACAATTCCAAATCTGAGAGTCATTCAAGAACCACATGTGGCCCTACTACCAGCAAACATCCTCCATCCTCTCCTGGGGCTTCAGATGCTTCCAAATTCTTTGGCAGGCATCCTGTGTGTAGACCCGAGCCTGGAAGCTTAGGGTTCAGATGCCCCCAAGTTTGACTTGCCCTCAGCCATATGGAAAGCTAGAGAGGAGTCTCTTATTTCCATAAAGTTGGCATATAGCTGAGATTCTTCCACTGGAAGCAGCCAGTAGGAAGCTAACTATGAGGGTCTCATAGGGAATCCTGGCTACAAGCAGACAAAGGTACAACCCTCTACGATACAGTACCATTTTAATTGCCTCAGTCAGGGTATTTCCACTGCCACCATCATGGTCATGGTATTTCCCCAGATCATGGTGTCTCCCCTGCCAGGTAAGTTTACTGAAGTATAGATTAATACAGCCCATCTTAACACAATATATGGCAGTGCCCATTGCATTCAGCCCCACTCAGCACTCTCTTTCAAGTCATGGTGAGCCACTACATTGAACACATTTTGATTTCTTCTTTACTCCCATAGATGAACTATGACTCTGTTTCCCATTTCCAATTATTTCTGTTCCTTCACCAGCCTTAGATGTTGGGAAAACATCACCAAATGGGGCCACAAGCAGTTCACTCAGAATCTCTGTTGCCCCCTCTCTCAACCTGTTGCATATGATTAGTGTGGTCCTACCTTCCATGAGGTAGAGCTGGACAGGATTGTTCTGCACCTCATCTCCATATACGTTTTTGTAGGATTCCTTGACAAAAAACACCCACTTCTGGTCATGAATGGTGGCTAATTAGCACATGGATCCTTTGTGGGGTGGTACTTGGAGTACATACACATAGTGAGCAGTGCTAAGCTGTGGGGTCACCGCCATTTGAAATACAATCTTCTAACAGTGAAGCTGTTTGAAATACAGTGCAGTAAATTTCAACTTTAGGGTGCATTGTTCTGTATATCTGACTGTGTGATATACTTTGAGTTGCTATACACACAACTCCCACGTTGGTATTTCCTCCTTGGTATTACTTTCCCCACCCCTTTAGCCTGGCTAGGATTGTGTTAGTTGCCCTTTTCCATCCATATGCTATTTGCATTCTTGTCTATTGGTGTTGACTCTTCTGCCAAGGTTGTTAGGTGCAGTGTGACTATATTTGTGACTTAACCTGGTTGCTGCCCTATAATATTGATGCGATGCCAGTTTTTGTCATTTTGCTGCCTCACAACTTTTGCTTATAAATTGCTTGCTTTTTTTCGCTTCCATTACAGACTCATGCCTATTTTCTTGCTCTTTTCTGGGCTTGCTGTTTATCATTTCTATGATGCCTTCTTCACTTTGTCAGGCAGACCAGGCTCTTATTTCTCCCTTGCAAAACTGTGTATATAAGATGCAACTTTGAAGTTATACTCATGCGCGTTAATGGGAATAACGGAGGGCCAATTCCTCAACTAGTAAAAGTTGGCAGGGCTGCCTTGTCTTTAGTCTGGCTCAGTGCATGGAAAATATTCCACTGTATTCTGGTTTACACTTGAAGGATCAGATTTTTTTTCAGGGCTACTCAGGCACAGTCAAATATCAGATGAAGGACCTTCCTTTTTGCTCGAAACATTGCTACCGCTTCACTATATGACTTTTCTCTGCCATTTAAAGAGTACACAGGAGCTTAGTCTTTGACATTCACAATGCCTTTTAGTACCCTTGCTATTGAATATTTAATTTCTCATGCATTTTTGTGGAGAGGCAGAGTGAAATCTCTGTTTTCCTGCAAAGGTAATTTAAGTCAATTCTTCTGTATGACATTCAAGAGTGACTGCTTTGAATAACATCAGTCTCTCTCTCTCTCTCTCTCTCTCTCTCTCTCTCTCTCTCTCTGGCAGAGCTGGTATACATCTTGTAATAGACCCCCACCCAGAAATAATGATCTGAAAAGTATTTGCATTTTTTCATCTGACACAAATTTAAAATCTATTTTTTTCCAGTGTTATTTCTTTCTTTAGGGTGTCTCCCAAGAAATGACTGTCATCTGCCACCAGCAGTTGTGGATAAAAAGTATCCCAGTGGTTTTTTTTTGTGATCTAGAGATTAGCAGAGTTGTACAAACTCCTTTGTTTGTAGAAGTGATTGGTAATTATGAGTTCTAGGTTACTGCACCTTCATCATAGAGCACCATACATTCAGAGAAAGTAAATCTCATGGATTAATAGTGATTACATGGATTGCATAATAACATGAAAAATAATTACTGTTATGTTTCCTGTTATTTACTTAGTTATACGTTCAAGCGCCTAATTTTGTTTGACTAACTATATGAGAATTTTTTATAAATGCTTCTTATGCCACTCTCACTAGGGGGAAAAAAGTGCTGATGTGTGTAAAATTTATCACTGAAACTATCTGCTACTGAGACCTGTGAATCTTTCAGTAATCAGCTACACGGACAAGGATCAATTTAATGAGGCACACTGTGTGTCAGGCAGCTAGACACAGAGCTGTGAATATATATACCATGTGTGCTGCTGTTTTCTGGCTTTTCTCATGTCAGATGTTTATACCATACATGTAACTACTATATCCTTGTAACAAATCAGATATAGTGGGATCTTTAATCAGCATTGTGAAGACACTTCTGATGGAAAAAAATAAGTTCCCTGCTTATTGATTAGGAATTCATTAAGCGGGGCTTGTTTCTCCTACATACAGTCTTGTTGTGAAGACTCAGAAGAGAGGTACAAGTTGAAGAGCATGCCAGACTACTTAAGGATGAAGCAGGATGGTGATGTTCTCAGTGAATGAGAAAGGAAGTATCTTAGAAAGCTTGGAGTGACAGGAAATTAGGAACTTTATTTTAGCCACATGGATCTGGTGGTGACTACTAGTTATCCCTAAGGGGATGTCAAAAACGCAAGACAATATTTTAGTTTGGACAGAGGAAGACAGGTCTGGAGTATGGAGGTAGATCTGTGAGTCATCAGCACAGAGATGGTAGTCAAATTTGCATTTGTGAGATTACACAAGAGGAGAGGAGAGGAGGATCAAGAACAGAGCCTGGTGGGAGCTTCACAGAAAGGTGAAGAGTGTGGGGGGAAGGGACCCTCTGAAAGACATGCTGAAGAAGCAGGAGGAGAGGAGAGGCAGCAAAAAATGAAGTCACAGAAGCCAAGGAAGGACAAGATTCAAAATGTGAAAATGTGGTCAAGGGTTGAAAGCAGGTGACAGGCCAAGGCTAATGAAGGTGGATATTGGTTCTGAGATCTAAGCAAAAAGAACTCGCTCATTTGGCAGAAGCATTTGCAGCGGAGTGTAAGGGGTGGAAGCCAGACTGAAGAAAAACTGAAGACTGGCTGTAAACAGTATGTTGCTTAGGAAAAGGGGTAGTGGTTAGAGAGCCAGAGAGAGAGAGAAATAGGAGCAAGGGAGATTTTATGCATCCATATTGATGTAGTAGTCCAATGTGTGGTTACAAAGCAGTTGGTCCAATAAAGAAATCCTTTTCTTTTGAGTTTTTGTTAATGTAATTCTAAAGTAAGACGTTCTCTCTCAGAAGGATAGTTTTTAGATAATCAGACAGCTTTTGCAGTGACTGTTCTGTGCAACAAATATATATAACCAATAGCAGCCAGCATTATTTGACTAAATATTGTTTGTCAAACATTCCTGATTAACGTAAACATGTACATGGAACAGACTCTTATTTTACGTAATGCTTTTCATATTCAAGGTAATGCAAGATTGTTCAAATAGTGCTGCAGACAAATGTTACATGAAGTGATTTCCCACAGGGCAGTAAATCCTCCACAGTGGTGAACACAATGGCTGTTCACAAATTGTTTTAAAGAAGTTTGAAAGCAATAAAGGAATCTCAAATATGTGCTGACACTTGTTTGACCTTGGCCAGTTCCACCACTGTATTGAGCTGAGTACCTGAAGAAAATTAAAATTTATTTAAAAGAGATTATGCGCTGATCTGACAGGAATCTTAGAAAAAGACATCACAAAGAAACCCACAGTAAGATAGGGCTGTTAAAAAGCATAGTACCTTAAACACCATGTTGAGCAGTACATGCCAGGAATGACTTCACTCAAGTCGATAG